CTTGGTGGTTCCTACCTTTCTCGGAATTACTCTATGCTCCTGTTAACTCTGGGCTCAGTTGGGATTTTGGGATTTCCAGTCACTAGTCCTGGCCACAGCTTCATGTCCTGGAGATTTATTTGTCCCATTCACTGGAGCTTGGGAACCTGAGTGTTGGGAAGCCACCCAGGCCCTTTGCTCCTGCCCCTGCCCAAGGCACGTCATGAAGTCTAGCTTCACAGGCTCTTAGGACACCAGAGTGATAGAGCTTGGAAAGAAAATTAAAAAAAAAAAAAAAATCATGATCCTTGAGTGTTTGTTTCTGAGATGAACTCATTCCAGCGCAGCTGGGAACTCTGTGTCTCAGAGATGGAGAACAGACAGACCCCTGGCCCTTCAGAGGAGGTGTTTACCCTTCGTGGGGGAAAGAAGGAGTGATCGGTGCCTTTGCACGAGGTTCCTCCCGGGGCTCCTCGGGGTTCCTGGGTGGAGGGAGCTCGAGGCGGTGCGTGAGCTCTGGACTCAGATTTGTTGTGCCTCCAGACTCCTTCCAGAACCTCATCTCTCTTCCTGAGTTCCCCCTCTGCTTTCAAAAGCATATGTGAAACCAGGCCCCATTCCTTTCTCTTTAGGTCACCAGATTCCTTTTTTGGGGTTGGCAGTGGTGCCGTAGCCCCAGGACCTGTGAGGGCATGTGAGTGGTGGTGAGGCTGAGATTTGCTCTGAGGGGGTTTAAGTGTGCCAGGACAGGGTGTTCTGCTGGTTTTCTTTCCCCTGCCTCCCCAGTGCCTCTGCCCCTTCCCTCCCGCAGACTCGGGGGACCCTGAGGTGGAAGAGAGCTCTTACCCAGGGGGAGAAAAGCCACCAGATCGCCCAGCTGCCTACACTTCGCCCTCAGCTTCCCTCCCTCATCCCTGCAGCCACTCCCAGGGTCTGAGGCACTAGCCCAATCTGAAACACCCCTCCCACTCTGAAGGAGGCTGGGCTGGCCAGGGGGTTATTTTGGGAGCAGCTTCTGAGATCCAATGGCCTTGTTAGGGCAACACTGACCTTTCTGTCCCGGGAGGAGGGCAGGATTGGCAGGGGCGGGGCAGCGGCCAGGAGATCGACAGCCCCGCACACCCACCGGGTGGAGAAGGGGGCCAGCAGGCCGCAGGAATTCAGCCTGGGGGGCTGGGACTGTCACCGAGGGGAATTTCCCCTCTTTGAGACAGACTGGGGACCCCGCCACCCCACCCTTTCACTGTGCTTCTTAAAGGGATCACAGCGTTTTTCCTTTGACTCCATGGAAGCCAGACTCGGGATGCTCTGTGGAGACTTTGAATCTTTTCTTCCCGCTTCCTCCCCAGCTGGCAGCCTCCCTCTGGCTGACTGAGAGGGGGCCTCCCAGGCATGGCACTGACCAGCCCACCCAGTGCTGACTTGGCTCCTGGGCTCGCTCAGCCTCTGGTGGCTTCTTGCTTTCCCCCTGCTGGGGTGCGGCGGTGGTGAGTGGGGGGCCCATCTCTGAGCAAGCTTGGAGAGTGCCACTGGCACTCCAGTTGCCCTCCACCCCCAAGCTGGAGGGCAGTCAGGTTGTCAGGGGCTATGATGAGATGAGTGGGGGCCGCTTTGACTTTGACGATGGCGGGGCGTACTGCGGGGGCTGGGAGAACGGGAAGGCCCATGGGCATGGGCTGTGCACCGGCCCCAAGGGCCAGGGCGAGTACTCGGGCTCCTGGAACTTCGGCTTCGAGGTGGCGGGCGTCTACACCTGGCCCAGCGGAAACACCTTCGAGGGATACTGGAGCCAGGGCAAACGGCACGGGCTGGGCATAGAGACCAAGGGACGCTGGCTCTACAAGGGCGAGTGGACACACGGCTTCAAGGGACGCTACGGAACCCGGCAGAGCAGCAGCAGCGGTGCCAAATACGAGGGCACCTGGAACAATGGCCTGCAGGACGGCTATGGCACGGAGACCTATGCAGACGGAGGTGAGCCCAGCCTGGGGCCTGCGGCTGGGGTAGGGACCAGGCGGGGCTTGAGCAAGGGGCAGTAGGACACAGAACCAGAGGGGCCAGGATGTTACTTGCTGTGTGACCTCAGGCAAGCTACTCTGCTTCTCTCAGCACCCATTTTCCTGTTAGGAAAGGCGGGGCCAATAATGGGGCTGTTGAGAGGACTGGCAGGAGTGCTCAGTGCAAGACAAGACCCGCCATATAAATGCACACTCAACGCACACCCATTAAGATGTACCTGCTGTTTGCATGCTAGGTGTGCTCGAGCTTCTGCTCTAGGAGAATTGGGTCTAGGCTCAACTTTGCCATGAAAATTATTTTCAAGGACTAGACCATGAAATATTCATTCCTCCATCCACGCACCCACCCACCCGTCCACCCATGCATCCACGTATCCTTTCCTTTGGGCATATTTCTGTGATACCCCCTATTTGCCAGGCACTGTAAAAGGGTTCAGTATAAAGAGAAATAAGCTACAGCCCGTGGCTTCAGAGAGACCTGCAGACAAACCATTACACATAAGTCTGTACAGAGGGCTGTGGCCGTAAAGAGAAGGGTGCTTTAGGAGAGGGGACATTGGAGCTGGGTCGTGACAGGGAAGGTGCACTGGTGAGGGCGTGAGTGGGACAGAGGGTGAGCAAAAGCTCAGACACATGAGAGGACTCTGGGCTCTGGAAATGGGGAGGAACTTTCTGTGGCAAAACAGTCCTGGGAAGCGGCAGAACAGGTAACATCACCTCATCCACTGGGGATAACTTTGAGCATAGCACTTATCTGGGCCTCAGTTTCCTCATCCATAAAATGGGGTGTTTTCAAATATCAGTACTGCTCAAAATGTAGTCAGGTAGCATCATCTATCTGCCAGTTAGAAATAAATGCAAATTCAGGGGTCCCCCCTAGACCTGCTAAATCAGAATCTCTGCGGGTCGACCCAGACATCTGTTTTAAGCTCATCCAGCAATTTTAATGCATGTTCAAGCTTAAGAACTATTGCTTTAAATCAGGGGCTTGCAGACTTTAGATAGCATGCCAAACTGGCCAGCTGCCTGCTTTTGGGCGGCTTGGGAGCTGACAGTAATTTTACATTTTGAAATGTTTGGGGGGAAAAAGCAAAAGAAGAACACTATTTTGTGACTCGTGAAAATGATATGTAAGTCCTACATGACATCGTCAATTTTGTCTCTTGGCTGGAAAGCCTAAAATATTTACTATTTGACTGTACAGGAAAAGTTTGCTGGCTCCTGCTTTGAGTGTTCATTCAGGGCCCTTCCAGCTTAAGATTATCCTCTGCCGTCCTCCTCACATGCCCTGTTAGGAAGAGGCACTGGCACAGATAACTCAAAACTATGGCTCATTAAAAAATACACATTTGGCACCAGAGGACATTTGTTGTACATCAATTTTGTCACTAGTTTGCCCTCTTTATGGCGGAGGGCAGGAAGGGGGCAGTCTGGGAGTGGGCTGGGGCAGGAAGGACATAGCCCAGGGTGGAGGGTTTGCTCAAGCTGAGGCCTTTGGGCATGTAGAGAGTGGTCTCCGGAGCACATGGGCTCCTGACTGGGCTGCCAGTTGGTGGGTACCTGGTGAGGGTCCGCCCTCGAAAGTGTCTGCATGTTAAGGAGGTTGTATCCCTGGAGTTTCTGTGTGCGATGGCAACGACACAGCACTGGCTGGAACTGGACAGCGCTAAGGACAAATTCTGGCGCCATGCTTCCTAATTCGGTCACCTTGAGCTGTTTGCTGAACCTCTGCAATTCAGTGCAATGCAATTTGCTGGATATTCGTGCCCAACACTATGCTGAGCACTGGGGACAAGCAGAGAGCAAGCCTCAGTTTCTCCAGCTATAAGATGGAGATAACTCTTGAGAGCTTGCCAGGCTCCAGTTACCTTTGCAAAGTCGTGCACAGTACACGGGTGCCAAATGTCTTTTCTCTTTACTCTCCTCTCTCTCCAGACCAAAGTGTGTGCATGTTGGAGCATGGATGTGAGTCAGAGACACACATTTCTGGGAAGCTATGGGCTGATCTCCTGATATATTTAAAGTGGGGAGGCTCATTCACTCATGCAACCAATATTTTAGAGCATCAACTATATGTCAGGCACCATCCCACACGAGTTCCGGAGACTGGGCAGTGAACAGCGAAATCCTCAGGGAGTTCCCTGTCTCATGAAGAAGACAGAAATAAACTGAAAAACAAACATATGTCATTTCCAGAAGTTGTGAGTGTTATGAGAAAAAGAGAAAAGAAGGAAGACGGTGATGTGTTTGGATAGGGAAGCCTGAGAAGCAGGGTGGAGAGTTCTAAAGTGAAGACTTCCAGGCAGCAGGAATGGCCATTGCAAAGGCCCTGGGGCAGGACTGGGCTTGGTGTGTTTGGGGAACAGCAAGAATGCCAGGGTGTCAGGAACAGAGTGACCGAGTGGAACAGGCACGGTCAGCGCTGGAGATGTGGGCATGGGCTGGATCAAGGAGGCTTTGTGGGGGGCCTGAGTTTTATCCTAGGTGTGCTCAGGTAACCAGAAGACCTGGTCCAGCCTCTTTTCCTGAATGAGAGAACCCTACATTCAGGCAGCCTGGAAATCTCTCAGATCCTCTCTCCCAAGCCACACACGAGGTGCAACTCTCCAAAATTAGATGTGGCCACTGCTTTGGAAAATCTCTTTAATCAACCTGTCATCGGTTCCCCGAGGGTTTGTTAAGGACCTGCCCTTTGCCCCATTCTGGGTAGCGCTGAGGGGAATGTGGACAATTAAGATCCTGTGATTAGGAAGGTTGAGAGTCGGGTAGCCCTGGGTTATTACATATCCTGGCTCCATCATATTATTAATCTCTTAGAGCCTTAGTTTCCTCATCCATAAAATGAACTTATCCTAATCTCTCCTAAGATTTCTCATGGGAAAAATGGGCACTCAATAAATGGTAGTTGCTATTATCACTATTAACTGTCATTAATTCATTCAATAAATATGTACTGAATGATTGTTATGAAGCCAGTGAGTGGCAGGGGCAGAGTATAGAAATGAACGGGATGGGAAAGGTGCCTGCCTTCCAGAGACTCTGACATGAACTTGTACTACAGTGTGTTGGGTGCTTGGCCAGGGAGTACCTGCTGGGGTCTAACGGAGCAAGAGATAGGCAGCTCACCAGACAGGCATTCAGGGGGGCCTCCTGGAGTAAGTGGCAAGCCAGGCTCTGAAATATGGGGCCAGTCAGGTGACAAGGGTGGAGGGCTAGTGCTCCAGGTCAAAAGAACAGTGCATAAAACCAGGAGATCCAAAACTTGCCGTCCAGCTCGAGATCAAGCTGAAATGTGCATCTTATCGGCAGCTTTGAGATGTAGTCATCAAAGGGACCGTGTGTCCCATTTCCCCCACTCCCCACCTTACCAGGCAGTTAGATGTTACAGGGGCCTGCTCTAAACCTAAGAAACCAGCAGTTCTCCAAACTGGAGGTGTCAGCCCATTATTTAATAAGTGGTGAAATCAATTTAGTGGGTCATGACCTGCATTTTGAAAAATGAAAGAATACTGTAATAGGATAGAAAATATCAGTGTTGTTTCCTGGAATATTTGTTAAGTTGGAAATATATGTATATATAGTGTGTGTGTATAAAAATGTCTGTGTTCATGTGTGTGTCATGATGTCAAGTGTATTTCTTACTGCAGATCAGGATCAGAAAGGTTTGAAAACCACGGTTCTAACGGGATTGCCCCGCGTCTTCGTCGCAGCAGCCGCCATTCCCACCTGCACAGGCCCTCCGTCTCCTCCACGCTTGTCCCCTTGGCTGGGGGTTAAGCTCTCCCGTCCTCTTGCGGGAAGGGGAAGGTGGGACTGGCCAAGGGGCTCCGGCCTCCTAAACCCTGCCCTACACTTCTTGTCACCCTCCCCTGCCTATAGCCCTCATTCCTCCCCTGGCCATATATAGTCAAACTAAAAATAGCCGCTGACTTGAAACTCCAAAGCCAGCGTATACCCGGCCCTTAAGTAGTGACGTGCGGCGGGGCTGCTGGGGTCCCACCCCGGAGACCCACAGGCTTCGGGACTAGAAGGGCCTTCAGCGATCTTTGCTTCCTGAGGTTGTTCACCTGGGGCCTATAGATGCCCTGAAACTGAGGCAAGATGTGTGCATACGTGCATGGACTATCTGTGTTTCTCTGGGAGGTGTTTTCTCAGAGAGCCATCAGATTCTCAAAGCAATCTGGGGCTCAGGCAAGTTCCTCAAGCATTGATCTAATTCAGTAATCCTCTCCCCAAAATGTGAAGTGGAAATACCAGCTTTGCCATAAATCTAATAATAATAATAATAATGATAAGTTAACATTTGGGGAGTGTGTACCACTGTTCTTGGCACGTGACACACGTGTTATTTACATTTTCACAGCAACCTTATGGGGAGGTGCTACTATTACTTTTTTATTTTATTATTATTTTATTTTATATGGAAAAGTTAAAATAATTGGTTTAATTTACCAGGAAAATAAAAGACTAAGGGATGAGTTAATCTTCTGTATTAGATGAAAAGTTTTAATTTATTTTATTTTTAGGCAATACTATTTGTTTAAAAAAACTATCTTTTCCCTGTTTCTTGTATTTAAAAACACTTTGAAAATTCCTACCCCCCCCCC